GTGCACTATTGCACTTTTATTAAAACAAGCACATACTCTTTACTTATATGCCACATTATACATGCATATACATGTACCCACTCTACAACTTTTCATTGTACTTTTATTGACACTGGAATGAGAACTTTCCCATCACAATTGTTATACCTCATTGATATTACTGATAATAAATCAATTCTTTATAAGTGATCTTACTTTAATTGGTAGGTCAATGTAGTCAGGGTTCACTTCGTCTTGTCAATGGTGGTAGATATCATGAAGGTCGCCTTGAGATATGCTATCGTAATAGCTGGGGAACAGTCTGTGATGATGGCTGGTCTAATTTTAGTGCTCAAGTTGTATGCAGACAGCTTGGATTCCGTGCTACTGGTAAGCTTGAAGCTATGAAACTAATACTACGTTTACACTAGCTTCTTTAACTGAGCCAGCCCTGTTAAAGTGGGCCAACACAGTTTCATTTGATAGTGTAAACAGTAATCAAACTGAGCTGAAGTGAGCTGGGCCAAACTAGGCCAGCATGGTTAGTACAGCAGGGCCAGCTCAGCCTGGTTCAGCATGGTTTGGCCCACTTCAGTAGTGTAAACGTAATATAATGATATAAATTTCAGTAAAACTATACTAGCCAATGTGTTAAAAAGGTCATGCATAAAAGGGTCAATCATGCATGCATTTTTTTACATAAATATTGAAGCCACTAGGTTATAATGCAGTAAATAAAGTTTGTCATATAAAATGAATAAACATTACAGTTTCATTAGCTGGGAGGAAATTTCTGAATATTAAATAAGCTATTTCCTTTCTGTAGTTGAATTGCATAGTTGAAGTACTTACCACTTATCAGATACTAATGATAGCTCCTAAAAGAATTGAATAAAAGTGAAGAGTTTACTAACATACAATAATTCAAAATATCACATTCCATAGAATAGATGATATAATTTATAAATAAGTATATTTTTTATTTTCTAATTTTAGGTGCTTATTATCGTGGTGAAGCCTTCTTTGGACGAGGGACTGGTAATATAGTATTAGATGATGTTAGTTGTGTTGGTATTGAAACAGCTTTATACAGGCAATGCCATCATAGACCTCCTCTGGTACACGATTGTACTCATAATGAAGATGTTGGAGTGGTTTGTCCTGGTAGGCATAAGTAATAGTTAATACATGGGGCGGCGTGTTCTATCTGATTTATCCGCACGAGCTTCCGGTCGAGTCGCTAAAAATAGCGCACGAGGCCGAAGGCCGAGTGCGCTATTTTAGCGACGAGACCGGAAGCGAGTGCAGATAAATCAGATAGCACACAACGCCACATGTATTAATTGTTTTAGTGTATAGTTCCAGCAAAGATTGCACGTGCTCTACTATCACTGATATCACACTGCTGCACATTAAACAAATGAGTGTGCTATTTATAATATCACACTGCGGTATTGGTGGGAGTGTTCTGTGGGTTTTATCACAACTGTTAGGCCTTTGATCTTTGCTGCAACTATACATTAAATCATGATAATGCTGTTCATTATGTCATTTATTTAATTATTTATTTCAGAACCATTTGATGGTTCAGTTCGTCTTGTTGGAGGATCTAATAGTTCTGTAGGACGTGTTGAAGTATACCGTAGTGGATCATGGGGTACTGTCTGCGATGATTATTGGGACTATAGGGATGCTAGTGTTGTATGTAGACAGTTAGGATATGGATCAGGTATTGATATTACAGTCTCACATTACAAATGTATTAAGTGTTGCAATCCTTTTATATTAGGGACTGTACTTACTAATGCTCATTTTGGACAAGGAACAGGAGGCATATTCATGAATGAAGTTGCTTGTACTGGATATGAGTTATTCCTTACCAACTGCTCTCATACAGTTAATCATAATTGTAGTCATTATGAGGATGCTGGAGTTAGATGCTCACAAAGTAAGGATTATACTATAATAGTAGCTGTTCAGTCAGTTATGATGTACATGTACATGTACTTGAATTTTTTATTTTATTACAGCTTGCTTTGATGGATCAGTTCGTCTTGTTCGAGGATCCAACAGTTTAGAAGGACGTGTTGAAGTATGCAGAAATGGATCATGGGGTACTGTCTGTGATGATTCATGGGACAATACTGATGCCACTGTTGTATGTAGACAGTTAGGATTACGACATGCAATTGGTAAGATAACATTTCAGTCCTTTTATAATAAGGGTTTCTACAGTGTTTTGGCATAGTGCTAAGCTCATTTTTTGAGCAATTTTAAACTACCGTATAGCGGAAAATTTTTGTGGCCCAAAAATCTCGTGGATCCATTTAAAAATCAATTTTGTGGCTTTAATTTTTGTGGTTTTCTACTTTTTGGCCATCTTGAACCGTATTGAATCAATTTTTATGGATTTTATTTTTGTGGCTTTTGAAAAAATGCAAAAAAATTTTGGGCCACTAAAATTTTCCGCTATACGGTACATAAAAGTTGCTCAAAAATACCAAATATACCTTACTGCCACTGGTATTTTGTCAATCATGATAAGGATATAATTCCTATCATGTTTTCTGATGCATATGCTGTATACGTTCAAATTTTCAAGTGTTTAAAATTTCGTGTTTTCAATGAAATGTGCTCAAAAGTTAATATTCATGTGAGCTAATTTTTGTGTTCTGGCCATAGTCTACATACAATAGAATGGCATTAGAGGTGGTTTAAATTTTGTAAATTAAGGTGAGCACAATAATAACAAAATTTAATGCACCTCGAAAATTAAGATGCGTACAGTACATTTTCTTATGTTGTGTAGAAAGTTTGATCTGATTTTGTGGAGTGCTAACGAGGAAGATCAATCTTACCATTGATCTGACTAGACAATTATATTGTATGTGTAGACATTCTAGGGCTGTTTTATGTGTTAATGTGAAGTTATGTGTAAATGTATGTCACTGATTAGTCTTTTTAGTTTTGTTATTTAAGGTAGAGCGAGTGATTGAGAGAGAGTCTTTTGTTTAAAGAAAATTTTCACTGTAAAGAGGGAAATCTAGCTCGGGCGCGTTACATTTGGTGGCAGCGGTGGGATATCTCAAACAGCAGCAGAGAAAGACCCACTTATCAACTAGAGGAGCAAAGACAACACTGTATTGTTGAGGTTGTCTTTCTATGTCAAGCAGCAGAGGAGAAAGAACTCAGTATTTGCTACGGGACGTACCGAGTCAGGACTACGCAAGGCAGTTACGAGGACCGCCTACATCAAGGAGAGAAACAGGAGAGAAACAGTTCTTACTTGAGACGGAGGAGTCAAACGAGCTAGATTTAGAGCAAGTGGAAGACAGTACAAGCAGAGGAGAAGCGATGGAGCAGTTGGCGACAGCTTTAACGAGTCTTGTTCAGTTGCAACAGGAGCAACAACGCCGTTGGGAGACAACGCAGCAGCAACAAGAGGAGCGTCGACAAGAAGAGGAGCAACATCGTCAAAGACAGTTCCAGGAGTACCAGGAGCAGGTACGCATCATGCAGGAGCAGCATATACAACA